CTGCAAGCACCTCTGAGAGAAAGCCGCCCTTGAGTTCCGACCGATGCCAGATAGTCCAGTTTCTCCCTGTATGAGTCTGGGTCCCCAGAGACTCGCCCGGAACTGGAGTTCAGAGCAGTTGGGAGCTTGAGACTCCCTCCCAATTGAACAAGACAACCGTGTCCTCAGTTGCCAGCCCTTTCCACGTGTGCCTCTGTACCTCTGCACTTTACTTCCGCACCTCCTCTGAGTCTCAGTGTGCTCTTCTCTTTCCTTCCAGTTGTAGAATTTCCACTCAGCCAGCCTTCCTGTGGTTCTGGATGATGTCCGTTTTGTCTTTTAGTTGTATTTTTGAAGTAGTTGTGCGAGGCAGCAATTTCCAGTGTTTACCTATGCCACCATCTTGGTTTCCTGTCAAGAAAATATTTTTAACCTTGCAAAGAATTAATGCCAGGACTTACCTGAGGAACACCTGACTTGGCCAGAGGAAGCTCCTAATAAAGAGAGAAGAACAATGGCTACTACACTGCACCCTAATCCATCTCCCATCTAAAAGATGAGACCACTGCACCCCTAAAGCAAGGGCCTCAATTCCTCACCAGTACTTCCTTCCAGGATACATCCACAAAATGTATTCCAAAAGGTTTTAAAAAGGAAAACCTAGAAAGAAAGATGTCAGTCTGGCCACGTAGGAGTTGGAGATACTATCTGACATGGAGGGTATGGACTATTGTTAGAAAGCCAATGACTATCAACTATGGAAGGATGTCCTTTGACTTGTCTGGCCTCCAGATACCTTGCATAGGCCACAGTGGGCCCAAGTGGTACATGTGTTATAGAATGGTAAGAAGCTAGGAAAATTCCAGGACAAGCGGAATAGGGAAACTGAGACGGACAGTTAAACAGTAGTTTGTGGCCACCTAATTAAATCCTATCTTCCCTAAACCAAGGACACTTAAGAGTAAATGCTTTGCACTTCTCCTCCCCAACCAGAGAGTAAGTAGCTTAAATCACTCTACTCTGGGAGACAAATAACAGAAATCCAATTAGTGCAGTTTGCCAGCCACACACAAGGACCGAGAGAATATATCTCATTTTGTACTTCAGCATAAGGCTGATGAATAGTCTATTGATCCTCTCAAAGACTCCCGTTAAATGCCCAGCCTTAAAAACCCCTAAAAATGAAGGTCCCAGCGCCCTCTCTCTCCAGGGAGCATGCCGGTGCCATTCCCTTCCCCCTCTACACTTCCCCTCCCTGGCCCCTCCTACTTCCCCCTATGTATCCCCTAACCCAGGGGTGGGCAAACTTTTTGACTCGAGGGCCACAATGGGTTCTTAAACTGGACCGGAGGGCCGGAATAAAAGCATGAATGGAGTGTTTGTGTGAACTAATATAAATTCAAAGTAAACATCATTACATAAATGGGTACGGTCTTTTTTTTTTTTTTAGTTTTTTTCTTTTCAAACGGGCCGGATCCGGCCCGCGGCTGCCCTAACCTCTAAGGCAACGGTCGGTCGGTCGGTGGGTCACCAACCAGTGGTCTGTGGACCACTGGTGGTCCATGAGGTCTGAAAGGTTGACGATCACTGCTCTAAGGGACCCCATGAGACTTGCAACCAGGGGAGCAATGGGCAATGGCAGCTAGTCCTGGGTTAACCCCCTGAACCTGTCTCCAAGGCCCCCTTTTTTCTGACTTCCCAGTGGTCTATGTCAGCCCAGCCTAGGCTCTCCTGTTCCTTCTTCTAAGCCCTCCCTTGTTTCACTGTCCTAAGTGTGTTTTTGCTGCAGTCAATAAATTCTTGCTTGCTTTTCTACACTTTGTGTCTTGATTGAAATTTTTCTTTCAAGAAGACAAGAACCGAGGTCTCCTCATCTCCTTAGTAACAGAAGGGCACCAACTTAAAATGTCTTAAATGTACTAGCGCTTTATTACTTTTCTGATTGAGAGATTTCAAAATTACTTTTGATATTATATTCAATTGTCCTTAAGCCCATAGCACATGATCACCACTGGAAAAGAAATGCCACATGATTCAGGCTGTGTTGAGACAGGCACTACCTGAGTAGCAAGAGGTGGTTATGCTGACTGTTGTGCTTTTCAAGAATTTAGTTGCCTTTAACCACTGAAATCCATGGAAGGCAACACAAAGCTATGACTCTCAGGCAAAATAAAGGCAATGGGAGCTGTGGGTACTCTTTTCAAAGAGCTGCTTTAGGAACGAACAAAGGAGCTCTCCTCTGAGACCTGCACCAAGCCAGACAAAGAAATCTTACCATCAGGAGCGAAGATGGGCACCCTTAAAACTAAAGGGTTTCAGGGGAGATGAGAAGACCTGTCAGATTCTTTGAAAGGTGTGCAAGAAGCTAGAGATCAAGACAAACAGGGAGGTTTCTAGCTCTCATCTAAATTTCAAAAGACAGTTTATATTGTTAAGATTGTTAATCTATGTATTATTTCCCACTTGAGGAAAATGACCAAAGGTAAGATTTTAAAAGGACTCTCCCTCTCACCCCCTTCCCACTCCAAAAAGCCAGGAGCTATAAGCAAACCTGCCCATTTTGCTCTAAAACTTTTTCAAAGACATTTTTCAAGCCCACACAGAATCACTATCACTATCTTTATCCCACTGGTTAGAAAGGAGACTTAGCTTAAATCATTTGGATGGTTACCTTCCAAGGCAAGGAAGTAACATTAAAGCAAGCATCTATAATAATAAAAGCGTAATATGCTCATTAGACTGGACGTCCTTCCCAACGTCCTTCCATCCTTCCAGACGAAGCTGAGGCTGTGAGGGAAGCCTGGGTCCCGGGTGCCTGCCGATGGCCAGAGGGAAGCCCAGGTCCCAGGTGCCTGCCGGCAACTGGAGGGAAGCCTGGGTCTTGGGGACCAGAGGGAAGCCGGTGCCGGCAGCCGGGGGAAGGAAGGCCTACTCTTGCACGAATTTCATGCATTGGGCCTCTAGTTTCTACATAACACACTTCCAACATCCCGGGCTAAGAAAACTGAAAATGTAATAGAAATAACATCTTATGTCCTGTTTTTTATTTAAGAGCCGTTTCTACCTAAAGTCCACATGAACTGGTTACTGTGTGGATGTTTAGGTCTATGGATGTCCTAAGCACCACATGCCATCAAAATAAGGAGGAAACAGCATGTGTAGCACACACCTGGTGCAGTATACCTGCACTAAGGCTTTGAGTTTGGGAGAAAACTGGGGAAAAGAAATATGGTCAAACCTCATGTGAGTCTCCCATCTAGAATAATTTGGTTCTCAACCAAGTTGTTCACAGAAAAAATGTCTAGGTTGTGAAACTAAACTTAGGTTTTTGACCTGACAACCCTTGCATGCTGATACCTCAACATGACAAAGGAGAGAATGCTCTGTTTGCTAGTGAAATCAATCATTAACACAATTTTAAAACATAAAGAGGCCATCAAGAATGCTAATGTTGCTAAGGGTATGAAAGAAACAATGATCACAGGCAACTGAAGAGGTAGAAAACCTGTTGTTGATTTGGATAAAGGCAAAGCAGTTTAGCCAGTTCGGAGGCAGTGATATATGAACAAGCAAAGATACTGCATTAGACATGCATTGTTTATAAGAAAGGGTAAAACGGGGAATCATTTGGGGGTCTGGAATGGATTGACTCCATTTACATTATTTCTAATGGGGAAAAAATGATTCCATTTTCAAACAAATTACTTCTGAAATAGCCTTCTGGAACAAATTAAGACCGAGAACCGAGGTTCCACTGTATATACTTGAACATTATCTCAAACATCTTCATTTCTATAAGACCATAATTAAAACAATGTAAGAAAAACTTATACCTTTTTTGCCAAAATAGCAAGTGGCTTATTTCCTGCTAATTCAGAGAACCAACTATGAATTGCACTCTGCGATCGAGGGGTAACCAGCCAATAATTATCTTTAGCATTAACTTGTGGTTTCTTCTTTCCGGTGTCCTGAAAAGTGTTCAGCTTTAGTTTCTCAGCTAATATGCTGCTAAAATAAGCTCCAATCTGAGGAAACAAGAGAAAAAATTTTAAAGAAAATAATTATGTTAGTAATGTATATTAGTATTTTATCTTTATCTTCAAACAGCCCATCAGATAATAAAGTGGCAATTTAAGTCCTTAAAGTCAAGAGTTGTGATTTCCTTGACTAACATAATGCAAAAACTGCCACAGCACCTTTGTTCTTATGAACAAGTAGTTCAAGAAAAAGAGAAGACCTTTGAAATCCTGTTAAGATTAAATGAATTGCATCCTGAATGTCAAGGGAATGGGTTCTGCTTTAATCTTCGGCTGTACTTTCCTTTTTCATACTGCACACCCATTGAAGAGAGTATTTTTCCTGAGAGGAGTTGCACAGAAAGCCTAGTAATCAATCACACCATAATTATTCTTTTTCTTGTTTCATCTTAATAGCATGTATTTTTGGAAGGCAAACTCTGTATTTACACTCAGTGCTTTTTTAAAAAAGAATCTAGAGAAATTTAATTTATTTAAATGGAAAATTACAAGAGTCAATTAAATTAACTATTCAACATTTTAGATTGGGCTGCCAATTTCATGAGCACAAGTGTTTCAAGAGAACGCTACTGTCACCTGATCTGAAAGGAGCAAAGCAGCAAAGGAAGCTCCTGTGATTACTGCAGCATTTTCATATCAACCAAATTAAAAGAGGACAAAGGAAGGAGAAAGACAACAAGGAAGGAGATAAAATAGTATCTAAAAATTCAACAAATCGCCCTAGCCAGTTTTGCTCAATGGATAGAGCATCGGCCTTCGGACTGAAGGGTCCCGGGTTCAATTCCGGTCAAGGGCACATGCCCAGGTTGTGGGCTTGATCCCCAGTAGGGGGCTTTCAGGAGGCAGCCAATCAATAATTCTCTCTCATCATTGATGTTTCTATCTCTCCCTCTCTGAAATCAATAAAAATATATTTTAAAAAAATTAAAAGAATTATATCTTTATATCTAATTATTACATAACCACACAGAAAAAAGCACACATTTAATTCAAGAAAATTTTAACACAACATTCTGATTGTATATTTTTATTTTTCAGATATTTATTATTTCTTCAAATTTGTTGTTTATCAGGAGTGACTGAAATAAAAAAATATAATTGAGTCCCATCATCATCATGGAAATGGATTTAAGAGAAAACTGGTCAGATCAATATTATTGCTTCCCACTTGGAATCAGTAAATAGTTGCCACTGATAGCGCACAGACTGCCAAGAATGCTCAAGACCTATTTATATAAAAACCCTGGGTCTAACTCGTCACATCCAAGGCTCCACCAACCGGAAGGAAGTGAGTCCTGCAGGGGTCGTCTTGGCATCGGCTGCGCCCTCCCAGAGCTGCTTCCCGCGAGGCCTGAGGGAAGAACCCACCCTCGGAGCGCCAGGAGCGCCCAGCAGCAGTCAGTCCTGGGTTGCTGAGGCGAAGGCCACTGCGTGGTGGAACTCTGGGTCTGGCCCAACAGGGAGCGTGGCCGGCCTTCAAACCAGACCCTGACAGTAGGGAGGAGGGAGCCCTATTCCTCACAGAATCTGCTGTTGGATAGCTTGTTGTCAGTGGCCTACCAGCCAGGAACCCCATTCACCTGCACCCCGGACCCTGACAGGAGGGAGGAGGGAGCCCCATTCCTCAC